TGTGCGTGTGCCCTGTGTGCGTGTGCCCTGTGTGCGTGTGCTCTGTGTGTGTGCCCTGTGTGCGCGTGCTCTGTGTGTGTGTGCTCTGTGTGCGTGTGCTGTGTGTGCTCTGTGTGCATGTGCTCTGTGTGCGTGTGCCCTGTGTGTGTCCCCTGTGTGTGTGTGCTCTGTGTGTGTGTGCTCTGTGTGTGTGTGCTCTGTGTGCATGTGCTCTGTGTGCGTGTGCCCTGTGTGTGTGTCCCCTGTGTGCGTGTGCTCTGTGTGTGTGTGCTCTGTGTATGCTCTGTGCGTGTGCTCTGTGTGCGTGTGCTCTGTGTGCGTGTGCTCAGTGTGCGTGTGCCCTGTGTGCATGTGCCCTGTGTGCGTGTGCTCAGTGTGCGTGTGCTCTGTGCGTGTGTGCCCTGTGTGCGTGTGCTCTGTGTGCGCGTGCTCTGTGTGTGTGTGCTCTGTGTGCGTGTGCTGTGTGTGTGCTCTGTGTGCATGTGCTCTGTGTGCGTGTGCCCTGTGTGCGTGTGCCCTGTGTGCGTGTCCCCTGTGTGCGTGTGCTCTGTGTGTGTGTGTGCTCTGTGCGTGTGCTCTGTGTGCGTGTGCTCTGTGTGCGTGTGCCGTGTGCGTGTGCTCTGTGTGCGTGTGCCCTGTGTGCGTGTGTTCTGTGTGCGTGTGCCCTGTGTGCGTGTGCTCTGTGTGCGTGTGCTCTGTGTGTGTGTCCCCTGTGTGCGTGTGCTCTGTGTGTGTGTGCTCTGCCCTGTGCCTTAGCCCTGACATCACAGGCCAGTCACTTCTCTCAGTCTCCTAGTCACCCATCTGTAACCACTAGGTCTTATTTTCAGGGGATGTCTTAGTTTTCCATGAAGAAGAATATGGTACACATTTATTGTTGAACACAAAAAAGGAAATTTATTACCTGTATACGGTACGGTGGTAGTTGTCATCACAAACCAGCATAACCAGACAAACTGTGACTCCTACAGTATCAAGAATTTCTTGTTACTACCATTATTTCCATGTACAACAATCTGTGGTACTACTCATAATCTATGATGCATTTACTTGCACTTCCTGGCTGCTTTGGCTGTGCTGCAGCCAACAGTGAGCTGTGCGGTGGCGCCCGCCACTACGGTCCAGAGTCCAGAGTTACGGTAGCTTCGGGGCGCCTTATTATCGGGATTGCCTTATATTTCAGAGAGAGGCAAAACCATAAGTAGGTCTTAATTTCAGGGGATGTCTTACTTTCAGGGAAACATGGTGTTTGTATCACAGTTTCTTCCAAATGAAGGGAATGATGTAACCCACATTGTACCACATTTCTTCATGTCATTTCGGGCTCCAGGGTGATGTAGACGAGTTGAGAGTGAATGCTAACTAATTGGTGGGCCAACCCCACTGAGCAGTGTCCTGGAAGAAAGTCCTGCTGATCTGCTTTGATCCAGACCACAGCCACGACCTGTAACAGATGGAGCTGCAGTGACTCAGAATTCACTCAACATTTGGTTGAGTTTCATCCTAGAGGGAGGCAGGTGCCCTGATTCTCTTTGCACAATCATGGAAACCGAGGCTTGAAAGGGGAAAGGGAACTTGTCCCCGATTAAGCAAAGTGGAAGAACCAGGACTACATCTCAGTTCAACTCCCAGAGCCTTCAGTACCATGTGCCTCCGTCTTCCGCTCACCCGATGCTGTTGTCTTCAGTGCTTTCTGCCTCCATTTCCTTTCTTAGCCAACAGGACATGTGAAGCTACGTCCTGATCTGTACATACAGACTTGTACAAATTAATCCAGGAATTAGGCTGAAGTGTTTTGCCAAGTTCAACCCAAACGAGTGGCTGCCAATTTGATTGCAACTCCTGCGCGTGTCAGAGTAGAGCTGTGTTCCCATCAGGGCTTTAGGGGCTGAGTTTGGGGGAGTAGATCATCAAGCCACCTCTGTGGACTCAAACCTCTGACCTTTCAGTGACTAGCCGAGTACATGAAACATTCACCCCATGCAGGGACTCCCTGCCAAATCAAGCTCCATGGAAATAGAGGACTGGCCTTGGGTGAAATGGAAGGGTCTCAGACGTGTTTTGACTGCTTCCTGGCAGGCTGGCGTGTCAGCAGGAGCTGTGTTGGGAGGAGAGATTTAGTGCCATCGTCAACTTACCTTGCTTTGAGTGTAGCTCATCCAGAGACCTCTTCTCCCCTCTTCTCTTCTTCTCGTCGCGCTTTGCTTGGTTCGCTTCACTTTGCTTCTTTTGCCAGTGAACTCAGGACCAGGCAGTGGCTGCTCCCCATGAGTCCAGACCAATTGGGCGGCACCTAACAACAGCTAACAGGGGATAAACATTCGATTCTTGACTAACTATAGGAAAGTTTGAATTCTAAAGCACTTGGTGAGGAGAGGCTGCTGTTTATGGTGGGCACTCGAGCTCCATTTTGAATCTGTTTGTTTGTTTTCCGCATACAATGTTTTGCTTGTTTATTTTGGTGAAAATATACAGTTATGCCACCACTTGGATAATTTCTGCATTTAAAACTCGGTGGGTTGGATTGCGTTCTTCGTGTTGTGCAAACAGTCTCACCATCCTTCCCTCCGTTGTTCCACCATCATTGACTCGTGGCCTTCTAAATTTCTCATCAAATATTTTGAGTCGTTATTGTCCATTTAAGCTCAAACAAATAATTGTTTGAAAGAATAAATGCTGAAGGGGGACATACTTTACTTATTGAGCTTGATTTACTTACTTATTAACTCATTTTCTGATTCAAAGAAAACTTCAGGGGACAGTTTAGCATTTGAAGTTTATCTCAGGGCAATCGCTTGGGGGCCAACCAGCTTCAGTAGCTCCAGAAAGTCTGGATTTCACTGAGGATTTGAAAATAGTGTTTGCATTCTCCTATCCTTTTGATTGGGGTTTTTCTATACAACATAGGATCAAAACAATCCACGATTTCCCCATAGAGTCTTGGCTAACAGGTTTAAGAAATATAGGCTGACAAAAGTAAATAAGAAATACAGACTAGAATAAGAATGCCTAGGTAGGTTAATTTCCTGCTAAGGTGCCCTGGTGTCGTGATGGTTAAGTGCTTAACTGCTAATGAAAATATTGTGGTTTGAATCCATCGGTTTCTCCATGGGTGATCTGTGCCCATAACAGCCACAGCCTGAAAACCCTCTGAGATCGTTTTCCATGTTGAGTCTGGACATAAATCCAGCCTCCTTTTGA